CTTATAACTCTGATGCATATACAGTATATAATATATTAGGAATAAGTTCATGAACTCCTAGAGATAGGCCAAAAATTATTTATCTCAAACATATATAAAGATTATCACTATATAATAATTATTATTATTATAAAAATTAATCTTTAAAATCATTAAAATATATTTATACACTTTATATTTTATTTATAAACTTTTCTTCTTTATCCTAAGGAATATAGTTGATCTGTAATAATTAAATATAATATGACTTGAATTTAATAATTAAAACAATATTTATTCTTAACAAAACTAATTTTGTTAAGAAATAATGAATTTTATTTTTATAATAAACAACATAAAAAATGCCAATGTAAGCCAAAATTACTTTATTTTATTATAAAAAAGCCATATAAACATACAAGCAATTGTTTATAAAGATGATTGATTTATTATCACTTCTTTTAATCTATGTATATTATTACATAAAGTCCAGAATAATTACATAATTTTATATTAATTTTATTGTTATATTAAAGACAACTCATCTTTTACGATTTATTTTGTTACATAATAATTTTCGGTACGTCAATTTATATATATATTTTATTTCTATTTAGGAAATAGCTGCAAAATAAACAGCATGATCTTCAACTTGTATCACCGAAATATGCTGTACGTTTAATGTCTTATCGTAAGCTATTTAATCGCAAACTAGATAAATTTTATCTACGAAATCTTCAACAAAGTATCTGATAGATTTCGATACGTTGGTCTTAAATAATCCCACTCAAAGCACCCATCTACATACTTTCTGTATAACCAACTGTATTTTGCATATATTCATTACATATTTTGAATTTCCAGCTAACTCGATTAAAGTGTAAATTTCATTATTTGTACCAAATAATGGCAAATTTTTATTAAATGTATTGGCCTATTATTAAACGTTACACAATTAAAAAAATAATAAGAACGATAATAATTGGATGGGTTTGTATCCGAATTGGATTGAGAAATTGTTTACATTTTGAGGAATGTTTTGTGTAACCTCTTGTAACAACGTTGACTAAAAATATTTTCGAAATTCTTCTGGACGCGATGGAATGAGAGCCGAAGGTCAGCAACTGATAGGTGGTTCCCAAATACATCGACGATGACTCACTTTGAAGTAGGTTTATCTCGGTGAAGGATATATCTAGCAGCGTGTGCCAGGATGCCTTAAATAACTTTACGATCCTCTTTTAGTCGAATTATACGGCGTGGATTTTAAAGATTCTTTTCTGGTATCGAAGTTCCGGCTGGAGTTGGTAGATGGCGCTATGAACCAAATATCACCCCCCCATTTAAGCAACAGCTCTATTTTCGTCACAAGAAAGCCTTCTCTAATGATAATCCCCTACATTTTTTTTTCTTTTTTTTATTGCACTTTTCGCCAGAAATATAAGGTTCTATTTCTTTAAATCAGTTTTGTTTCCTCTTCGTTTTCTTTCTTGTTTTTCTTTTGGATTTCGTCCAAACGAATTCCAGCTGCATAGCGATAAAAGAATAGCACAGTGGCCAAGGTCAAGCCAAATTATAGTCTAGTTAGAGTATGGCGCCGACAGCCTGTTTTTGTGTGCAAAACATTAAGTTTTTATACGAAACAAAATGTCTATATATCCGGGACATTCGATACAACCTTTTAATTTATAACAACAACTAATAAAAACTTGTCGCATTTACTTGTAGACTATGTAACTCGTATGTTTATTATTGACATTTTTCGCCTATTCAAAACGTTACGGCGTCATTTAAAATGCATATTGATCGTTTTTGCAACTTTTTAAAATTAAAAAGTCAATAACATTTCTCTTCGGCGGTCAGGATCCAAGTTATACAGTACAATCCTCCCGAATAAGCCAAAGCTACGTTTATTTAATTAAGAACCCATGTCGGCCATGCTTCATTTGACTGCATTCTCCACTTTTGAAACTAAATCAACCAATCAGTCAGTATTTAAATATCGACGTCACAATTAAAACGAAACACTACTCATAAGGGGAGGGGCAAATGACAGTCCTTTTCAAATATTAAAGAAAAAAAGAAAATTCGGAGATGAAATTAAAATCTCTGCAATTTTTAATCATTTATAAACATTTTAAATTTATTTAAATCGTAGAACGGTATATATAAAATATTTTATTATTAAATATTGATGTTACAATAAAGCGATTTCCTCTTAATAGAGCAATTTGAACAGTTGTGTGTGGGTGTTATAAGCATATAAAATGTGTATTATAAACAAGAGAATTCTACCTACGCATAATTGAACACAAAACAAAAAATTTCCTGGTTTTCATTTAGATTAATGAAATTTCTATAATTTCAGTTAATGATTTTAAACAGAAGCTTTCGTGTTTTATATTTCTTAATTGAAATTTGTATAGATTAATATGGCGTAAGTTATGCAATACGAAGAAGTTTCGGGTTTTCTAAGCTTAAAAAGTATTCCGAATTTTCATGGCTGATCTGAAAATAAAATTGCAAATTGGTTTATTTTGAGCGTAGCCTATATATATTATAGTTAAAATTATTATGATTGTTAAGGAAAATAATAATAAATAATACTGTTATATAAGTTACTAAAAATGAAACTTTAATTTTATGGCGCCTGAAATGTCAAGGATAAAATTCTGAGAAATTTAAAATAATAAATAATTAATATATGTAAATTTTTTCCTATTCGGAATTAATTTATAGGCGATTTAATTTTAGTATTTTCTAAAATACTGTATACAATTTTTAAGGTGTTTATTACAGATAATTGGAATGTAATCTGATCACTCTGCAGAATATTCGCATCAAAATTTTCATTTGAAAGTAAATTGCAGAAATGTATTTAGTATATTATGCGAATGTTTAACTTAAAAAAAAATAATTGTAAAATAAGAATTTTAGCAATAAAAATCCGCACAGAAATCCTATTTAAAAAAGGGATGAGTAGATGGAGATAGTGCTGAAAAGTAAAAATTTTACACGAAATGGAACCAAAGTAGACAAACAGCGTTCGTATTCTATCAATTTGCCCTGCTTGGTTGCATTTAGCAGAGAAAATTCCATCTGTGGGCAAGTTTGGCTAGGTTATTGACCGTCCAGCATGTATCTATAAGTCTGTCTGCAGACAATTAACACGTAGGGAGTCGTAAACCAGTTTTTAGACATCCTTCACATACCATCCAAGGACGCTTTCTTTAAGAAATCCTATTTTGGATATTTAAAAATGAGACTATAATACCGGAAGAGGTTAAAAAAGAAATGCAACCGAATAATGCCTTCAGCGATTCTTTTTTTGAGGGGGGATCGAGTATTAGCTTGTCATATAAGGGTCTAGTGAGCTGTGATGGATGGGGTCACTCAGTGCTGATTGGTACAGGAATACACTTTCAGAAAGAAATTAATCCCATTGATGGCCACACGTCTTTAAGATCCATTCTAATTCTCTATTCTTTAAGATCCATTCTAATTCTCAAGGTCGAAAGTTGCTTCCATTTGCAGTGCTATTGTAGTTAATGACATAATTTTTGCGATGGGATGGAGTCAGGTGTGGTCTGGGCTAATTTACTGTAGAATGAGGAGAGAGGTTGCTCCAGTTACCCGCACAGGTACACGCCGTATTGCTTATGTATAACAAATACGATCTCCTGTATATAGTTCGTATTATCAATTTAGGCAGTTAAATGACATCAGCCCCGAAGGACTAGGCACGTGCTGTGACGTACCAGTAGTCACGTGGCTTGCAGAGTGAATCATCAAATGCTGGAGTCGTACTTCAACTCATCAATCGATTGGTTTTATACGACAATCCATACATCCAGACGTCATTAACTATTGCAGATTTTGATATTATTTACACGTGCCCTTCCTTTTTTTAGAGTTCATTACTCTTTACGTTAATTTCGTCTTTGTTCTCGACTTCTTTAGAATTTTATGCAATAGTTGCGTATTGAGATTCCCTGAATACATTAATCGCAGTTATAATCATTAACGTGTAGAATATATTGCACAATCGGTGGCCGGGTTCAAGGCAAATTGATTCGATTTGTTTTTACTTAAAGCAAAGATCACCAGGTGAACATCACGTGACAGAGGGGAGACTTCTATTCCAGCCAGTTGCCATGGCAACGTATAGGTCGGCTATCTAAGATTCTAGACGAGAAAAAGCAAAGTTACACAACTTACGCCAACATTTATAAGAAATATAAAGAAAAGAATAGGGGAAAAAATGTATAGGAAGGTGCAATTTTAAGACCCGATGTAAAATTATTTTAGCACGCGCGAAATGTAAGAGATACTTTTATCAAAATTACTGAATGCGAATTTTGGATTTTATCCAAATTGTAGTTTCCTTTATTCGTCTCCTACTAAATGGAGTGACGATGAGATTTCAAAAGAAAAAAAAAATTGCGTACAGTAAGTATAAACGCATTTTTCCTCCGTCCTGTTGGTTAATTGAAATGACCTTATTGGCCTAACTAGATTAACCATATGCCCAAAGTATTTTTCGGTCAAGAGAATAAAAGCATCGTTCCTTAAACTGACGATTACCAGATGGACCAGGAAGTATAAGACGAGAAACCAGGCAGAAAAATCTCATATTTTTCCCTATAGAAACGACATTGAATTATCGCATCAATATCATCAAAACGAAATTATTTCTGCGGTTAAAACTTATATCCTTCAATTAGATCCTACATTATTTGCTTAAGGGTAGATGTAAAGTAGGATATTAAGGTAAGAACAGCTGCCAGTATTACTGAACTGTATACCTGACTCCCACGCTAACATCTGTTAGCGTTTTATGAGTTTCCATTCATAGATATCACAGTTTTAATGTGCATCGAATTAAAACGTTGCTTTTTTGGCCTAGTTTCCTTCTTTTTTTTCACTCATTAGTGGAAACTCTGTTTTGATTCCGATTTAGAACAGGATAATAAAGAATATAAGCTTTACCTATATATATATATATATATATAACTTAAAGCAATGTAGGAACACGGCGTTTAAATATACCAAAATACAACCAATTTACATATCTGTATGCAAATGAGCATGGAGAAATATGGATCAATTAAAATAGCCGTTAAATAAGAAGAGCCACACACACACAATGTTATTAAGAGAAGGGAAAGAAATAACGAGCGGATCGAGTAAATTGCCTATTAAGCAGCTTTCGTATAAGAGAATTAAATTAAAAATTAAAAAAAAAAAATACACTGCGGATGACAAATTTAAAAGCGTTAAGGATTCGAACATGTCAATATATTATTGTGGCCGGTGTAAATAAGCTGTTGTTGTTTAAGAGCTGAAGATTATAGACAAAATAAATATGCTGATGCATATCAGCATTTATGGACAAACAATACGCTGTTAAGTGTCAGGAGCCGAGAACAAGCTAATTAAGTATATAACACATAAACAAAATATTCTGGCAGATATACAGATCTTGTAATCAATCCGGTAGGCTAAAAGGGGCCCCATTTACAGCTTTGTTCCTATTTTTCTTTGATAAGAAGAAATTCGTTTAACATTACCCCGTCGATAATTTACTTGGAAAAAAATATATGTAAACAATTGGAAAATGGATTATTTTATTTGGGAAATTCAATTTTAGTAAACGGGTATGAGACAAGATGTAATTATTTCGGATAAAGTGATCGAAGACTCAGACATTGCGTCAACATGTTTGTAGACAGAACTCATTAGTGATTAAGATGAAAGGCAATGAATATCGTGTAAACAAACGTGTTTATATAAACATGGATTTGATTTGGGTATAAATAAATATTATTTTAAAATATTACAAAATTTGTAAATTAAGTATTTATTACAAAAAAAATATAAAATTTAATGCGTAGTGTCTTATGAAAGAGACTACGTTTGATAAACTTTCGCCATTGTTGACGTCATTGCACTCCTCCCCTCTCCAAACACAACAGCCCGACGTCACAATTCATCCAAATATTCTTTACGGTTATTCGTCCTTTTCTATAAATACCGAAGAAAGACGTTTGCCGATTGGTCTATTTTGGCGGGTAGGAATTTACTTGTTACTCGCAACCTCGTGGTGACGATTCGCATCCATTTACGTCATATCGTCTCACTAAAAGAAAGTAATCCCCGAGGATATTAGAAATATTTATAAAGGAGGAAAATATAAGTAAGGTTAGACGATCGATAGGTGTTAATTAGGTTGTGACGTTACCTGTCGTGTCTGTTTTATGGAGACAGAGTCGGGATGTAGTCTAGCACGAAACTCCCGCCAGACAGCGCATTTATACCAGACGGGTGACGGTCAATGGTCATAGAAGGCGAGACAGAGTATTGTGATTTTGGCGTGCATGCCTCTTGGTAGGGTCATCACACTTCTGCTGAAAATTCCGAATTCTCCTGTTAACAATCTTCGACCATGCTTTCGCGAAAATTACCCACGTTATCGAACGTCTTTTCTACTAATGGAAACGACAAGGAGTCTGGAAGTAAGTGTCGCGACAAAGAGCAGTTCGAGAAGACATACTGAATCGGTTCCATACTGGGTAAAGGTGGCTTTGGTACCGTTTATAGCGGTGTGAGAATACGAGATAATCTCCAGGTAAGTGGTTTTATTTGTTTTTAAAAAAAATTTGCATATTAGACGTTCATCTAATACGGTATGAATGCAATTTAGGTGGCTATTAAACAAGTTATGAAGGAGAGAATTCCCGAGTGGGGACAGGTAAGTTTGTATCCGTCGTTTTAACGTTGTTTTGTATTTACACGGTAATGGGAGTAGTGTGCTGAGGCTAACATTGTTGACATTGTTGATGCGAGACGTCACTAGCTAGGAATGCTAGTCAGACAGGTTGAGATGACGCGGAAGTAGTTCCTCCCCCCGTTTCAGTTCCGAAGTTTTATTTGGTATTATTTTTCTTTTTTCTACAGATCGGTGGACATCGTGTACCGCTCGAGATCTGTTTACTTCGGAAGGTACGGCACATCAAAGGTGTGATCAATCTACTCGATTGGTACGAGAGACCGGACTCTTTTATAATAGTCATGGAAAGACCGGAGCCAGTTAAGGATATGTTCGACTTCATTACTGAGAAGGGTTATTTGGAAGAGAAGCTTTCGCGGATGTTCTTCAGACAGGTGGTGGAGGCAACGGTGGCATGTCACAAAGTGGGTGTCATCCATCGCGACATCAAAGACGAAAATATATTAGTGAATCTACGTTCCATGCAAGTCAAAATGATTGATTTCGGTTCGGGAGCATATCTGAAGGATACCATGTATACGGATTTTGACGGTGAGTCTCGTCTTTTTTTTTTTCTTTAATTATTTAAAATTGCTTTCGTAAGTGACGACGGACAATTGGACTAGACTGACGTCATTTTTGGCACAGTGCCAACCAATCAATAATTGTACCACCTGCTCGGCCATTCAACCCGGTTTGCTTTTCAGGTACTCGAGTGTATAGTCCACCGGAATGGATCCGCTTCAATCGCTACTACGGTCGCAGTGCCACCGTGTGGTCTCTAGGAATCCTTTTATACGACATGGTGTGTGGAGACATCCCCTTTGAACATGACGAACAAATACTCAGGGGTGACATCCGCTTTCGGAGGAATCTCAGTTCAGGTATGATCGTAACATCGGTAAAGAAGAGATTTCCCTGCCTGGAACCATGTACCATTTAGATAATTGTTAATCGTTTACAGAATGCGAGGATTTAATCAAGAAATGTCTGTCGCTCGTACCTAACGATCGTTTGACCCTGGAGGACATCATGGTGCACCCTTGGATGACGGCCAAACTAGAACCGACTCGAAGAAGCTCTTTGGATCAACAGACATACGATAAAGCGTCGACAACAAGCGAAGAAAGCATATGATCCTAATTGTGCTTCGTAGAACTCTTTTTTGTGATAAATGGTTAATTTATTCAGCCCCTTGTACATATTGTATATACGGTTTTGATTATTGTTAATTTGTATATTTCCTGATAATTTATAAGGCAGAAGTTCCAAAATACGACCAAAACTTTTATCGAAAATAGCAAAAGTCATGCCAGTATTTCTTGTATTTGGATGAGGAGACGATGAGGATGAAGAAGAAGAAAACTTTTGTAAAGTTCTATATATATTTTTTTTAACAAAGAGGAAAAAAGTTTCAGAAAATTTGAGGAAAAAATATATTTAAGAATTTTTGTACAAAAAGTGGCGTTTTTGGTGTTGAATTCCCTAACCTATTTAAGGGTTTACACATACACGTCGTTTTACGTTTCTCGTGTGTATCAGTCGATGGGAAGGCGTCAAAATATCGATTTTAATATTGCGCACGCGTCCGGCTAGTGTTTTATCACGTGATGCAGGATGAAGAGGGGGAAAATGTCAGAGGTGAAACGGAAGAGGAGAGATTTTTCTCGGAATAAGCTAAAAAAACCGCTCTATAAATTCTTATCCACGTGCTATCGATAAATCGGGAGTTAAGTCTGTAAAACGAAGTGTTAAAAGACGAGGCAAAGAATAAGCTCGATAATAAGTTTTCGTTATATAAGAAACAATGGTTTTGGGAACGTGACGAGAATATCGACGGGGATCAGTCACCAGAAAGCGACTTTCGACCTTTTACATTGACGTCACCTTGTCTTTTGCGTTTAATCAATATCATTCAGAAACGAGAATCAAGATCTGTGACCAAACATCCAAGGTCGAGACCGAGGTCTATGACCACGTGGCCTTGTTGGGTTCGTGATTAGGGCATGCGTAGTAGGTCTAACACTACTGGAATGCAGCTGTCTGTTAGGGTTTTTCCTTTCTTTTGTGTTTGGTGTTCCATGTTTTCGAAAAACCAAGATCGGACACCTGCCCCCCAGCTCCATAACAGACAGGTGTTCAGCGAGAAAGAGAGACAGAGTGCGTTTGGGTCCATTCAGCCGAGACGTCTCCCGTTTTTAGTGAGAACACCACATCTGTCGGTCTAACCAACACCTGGCCTTGTTTAATTGTCTGCGTAACACCTGACTATACTCTACTGTCGCCATCTTCTAAATTAAAGATTAATTAATAGGTGTATCGATCTGTTACGGACTAGACGTTTCTTAACGATTTTTGGAGGGAAATCCCTTTTTTTGTATTGTCGAGACACACACACATACATACACACAGCCACTGACCTGTCTGCCGCGCGCGTGCTTTACCTCAACACACCCGCCGAGTTCAATGGCGCTCGCCCATCACGTGGTACGGCTTGGCCTTCGGGTGCAGGAGCATTGGTCGAACGTAATTGGAGAAGCAGATGCACCGTGAACCCTTTCACACGTCTCGTCTACTATCACAATGGATAACGACTAGAATTGACCGAAATTTACTAATCTAATTAACTGTTTCTTTCGTGTTTCCTGTACTCCATTTAAACACGATACAGGACGGAATATTTTTCATACTACGGCCATTTACGTCCCTCAAAACATTTCTTTCCTCTTAAACGGCGTGTAATTAGCCGAGAAAAAATGCGCGCGAAAAAAACCGAAACGCGGTGCTTCCATCTAGCGTCATATTTTAATAACAAAGGCGGTCAATTAATTCATAAAAATGTCTTAACGCGAGTCTTATGTGGTGATGACGGAAATACGTAAATTTAAAAAGAAATGACAAAAGGAATGTTACAAAAAAAAACAAAAATCAGGGCCCGTCCGGGATTTGAACCCGGGACCTCTCGCACCCAAAGCGAGAATCATGCCCCTAGACCAACGGGCCACGTAACCGACACTTCACTAATAACCTTTATATTTCTAATCAGTTATTGATTCGTACTTGAGTGAAAACGTGATATTTCCTTCTGTTATCACGCTTACACTTAAATCTACGCACTTAACACGCGTTAACTCTCATCTCCATTCAATCGTAAGATAAAAATCATTACAGATATCTAAAGCATTTATATGTATATCATTCGCGCATTTGATATACTACACTTTAGGGGATATCTTCGATTCGATATTCGAAAACATTCCCTAATGAATTCGCAATCTCCTGGGTATTGGTTCCCTCGTTACGGTAACACATTGTAATTCTCATAATATTGTATTTAAATGTAAAGTGGGGTACACGAGTTAAACAACTTTGAAGAAAAAAAAAAAAGCTTAATCCCAATAGGGCATACACCGTGGGGAGTATAGCGTACGGCTTATTAATTCCCATAGTATTTAAATGCAAAAGAGTCTAAAGGCACGCTGATTAAAAGGTTATTTGCCATGCAAATTGCTAAGAATAATCCGTAGAAATACTTCGGAATTCGAAATTGTGTGTCTGAAAGTTTAAAAAAAAAAATAAAAAAATACTGTGTTTGTGCTTTCTACGTGACATTGAGACATGCAAACTGTACTTCGGATAACTACACAATGGAAAATTTTGTGATTTTTAGCGTGTTGAAGCAGACGTTTGCACGATTTATATTTATTTAACAATAAAAAACATTCATCCGAGCAATAACAACAACAAAGATTTCTATCTTGTATAATTTTATTATAGTAAAAAGAGAAGAATATGGAATTTAAAAGGAAGATTTTTCTACTGGGAAACAGGACACCGTAACCTTTGGAAAGAATTTTAAGGCATTGTTTGGCCCACGATAAGTCTCAGATCACTAAATTAGCCCACGCGTAATGTCTGGCAGACTTCCCAAGTGTTCTTTGATATTGATCGGTTATATTGCTCAATACGGTTGCATGATTTCCTTTAATGTTTTAAACATGCCGAAACAATAATATTTAATATTATGCAACGAGCTATCAGTAGAGAATTTTTTAGAAAAAGAAGCGCGTGATTTAACCCCTCTAAAAAAAACATCAAATAAAAGAAAAAAAAGGGGCCTCATTATTTTCTATTCATCGTTTTTCAAGAAAGTCTTTTATTTATATGTTGATCAATTGAAGTGCATTATCTTAGACCTCCTATGGGTGTTTAGGGTCGTTATCCTCGTATCCAAGTTCCAATTTCGCTCAACAGATGGCGAGACGTTGTAATCTTTTAAAATAAACTAAAAAAAAAAATATATATATATTTTTTTTCTACCGAGAAAAAAATAAATAATATCAAATTAAATAAAATTTTAATCAAAATTATATTTGGCATTAAATTAATAATTTTCTGAGCTTAAAAATATTTATTAAAAACGTCGATACGTGTTTAAAACGCTTCGGTGCTTCCATCTATCGCCGATAAGCGTTATTAATTCTCTAACGTTACTCTTTATACAGGTTACTAAAAAAAAAAGCAGGTTGATGTTACGTATCTGCGCCTGCGCTTTTGAACGAGGAAGTAACCTATCAACATGAACACCATTTTTCTCGTGTTTATGGGTTTTTAATAATGAACACGTGACTAAACATGGCATACATGGGAACATTGATTTTTCTATTGTGTTTCAGTAAGTATATTATGCCATTTAACAGCTTCTTCTATAGGATTATTAACTTGTTTAACGCCTTATACTTTTACCTGTCCTTGAATTTACCTGATGTTACTAGCAAACCAGGTTGTCACGTTATGTAGCCTAGCCATACCTGTGTTTATTATTATTTTATTTTTACTTCATACAGGCGTATCCTATGCAAAATTAGACACGTTGCAGTGTTCGAATGATCAGTTACAGCAGTGTTTAATATCTATAACACTAGAGAGAAGATCTATCGGTGCTCCCCTTTCTACAATCGAACTTATGAGTAATTGCAGGTAATTTATAATTTTCTTTCTTTCTTTTTTTTACTTATTTTATGACATAATTAACGTTTCCCTCCTTTACGCAGGAATTTTCGAGAGGGACTAAACTGCCTTATTTGGTATTCTGTTAACTGTATTAGCCAATCGCAACGCGGTGTTACCAAAGACGTCATCGAAAACGTCAGGCAGTATCTGAAGAACGTGTGCGAAGACTTCGAACAAGTCGATGGTTGGTTTTTAATTACGTTTTTTTTTTTTTTTTTTTTTAAATTACAATAGAAGTCTTTTCTCAGAAGTAATAATTAGTCAGATCTTATACATAAATTACGGTCTAACCTCCAACAAAGACCACCTCTAAACAGCGGACAATTATCAGGAACACATACAGAATAATTTCCAAACGGCGGCCATTTTTTATGTTAACGTCAGTGGCCGTTGTTCAGAGGTTTGACTGCACTGCTATTCACGAATACGTCTTAAACATGAGAAATTACAATAGAACTTCCAATGACGGCCACCTCTAAACAACGGACATTTTATACGGAATGCAAAAATGCATACTAAATAATTTCTATGCGGCGACCATTTCTTTTTTAATGTAATTGTCAGTGGCCGTTGTTCAGAGGTTTGACTGCACCGCTATTCACGAATATAAGGTTAATAATTTTTATTATTTAAATAATATTTTTTTAAATGTATACACTTAAAGAGAACTGGAGGGATCGAAAATGTTATATGAGTGATGAGATGGAAACTTGTAAGGAGGATTACTTCAAGCATAACGATTACAAGAAGATCGACGAGTACAGCTGCGGGTGAGGACTATAAAATATAACAGTTGAAAGATGTATATATCAGTGACATACCCTTTTTTTTGTAGGCATTATTTTCAGTTCAAAAGATGTGCCGAGAGGATACTAGATGAAAAATGTACAGAGAAATACAACATATACTTAAGCACTTATCTGTTAGATAAAGCGGATGAGTTCAGTTGGATGTGTTCTGAAGAGGATACGTATTTTAATAATAGAAACGATCAATTGATGATTCGTAAGTGTTTTAAGAGTTTTTTCTTTTAATTATAAATTAGTTTACTGATTTAAATATTTAGGGTCCATAAAGGGTGCGAGGTGCTTGATTAGGAATAGAGAAAAGCTTTCCGCGTGCAGAAGAAATTACGACGAGAATGAAAATGTGATTGAGAGTGAAGATATCTTTGCCACTGCTTGCTGGTAAGTAGGGACTAGATGTAAAATTCGGCAGGGGTTTTGGGTTGCTAGAAACGTGTGAGGCCTCTTTTACATGTAAAATTTCCTCTATGAGGTCTGTAAAAGTTCGAGATTTTAATCAAGCGTGGACTTGTAAAGCCTCATTTATATCACACGATATTGTACAACGTTGGATCCTAGCTACTACCGGGAGTTTTGTAAGACACGGTGGAGCGTTATAGCTTCATGGGACCCGGGAAAATTTGAATTAGGGTTCCCCGTGTACAGTATTCAAACATTTTTCTTCGGGAGAATTCTCGTTCGTTCTTTTTTACGCGACCTCTGCGCTGTGACAGTACACCTTGCTCCTGCGCCACACCGTCAATTTAGGGTCCCAAATTTTAATTTCGATGATCTTACTAAAATTTAAGTTTATAAAAGATCGGTTTCGGATTCCCTGATAGTAGGTGGCTCCAGAAAATTGCCCTCTTTGCCCACAGAAAAAGACGACTAGAACCAAAACAAGACATCTTTACACCCCTCTAAGAGAAGAGGAGCCCTGTGCCAACGCACAGGTGGCACACCTCCTGTGATAACTGGATCTCGAGTACTCGACGAAAACCTTGTCTAAAATCCTTAAAAACTCGGATCTTAGGTAGAAGTTTAGGTGTTCTATGTCTAAAAATATATTTAACAATATATTTTTCTGTACGTCGTACATCAATTATCATTTTGTTTACAGTGCCTTTAAGAAGTACGTCTTCTGTATCGACGACGTCGCAACTACAAACTGTAGATCCGAATCTCGAGAATTAATCGACAATGCTTTACAGCGCCTAAACAGGGATCTTAATTACAAATGTATTAATTATGAACTCGACATGTGTTCGTCTTGTTCTGCTCTAACGTCATTACTCAGTTTAATCGTTGGGATGATAACTGTGATGGAAGTGTGCGTGAGACACTGACTTGTGTGATATATTTTTTATGTAAAAAGTTAATAAAAACTATTTTAAACTAAACTATTTAAATTAATTTATATAATCGATATCTTTTCGTGATTTGAAACAGTTCAAGGGAACAGATACAGCGTGTTGCAGGATGTCGTGATCCAAACAATAACTAAAATGTGATCCAGTTCTGGCACTAAAGATGATAACCTCGTTTTTTTCTCTTTATATCGAGTGTTTCTCGTATGAAAAATAATTTTTTTAATATTTTTTTTTCTAAGTTATAAACGTACATATTAACACTTATAAAGTTAATTGGACGAGTGATCAATAGGATTTCTGGTTGAGCAATGGCGGTTACTTCCTATTATATTCTGTTTTGAAGCGTTCGAGTATGTCATTGACATTCTTCCTCGGGCAATAATCTGTTGTCCAGTGTTGCAAACTCATTAATTATCAGTAACACTTAAAACTAATTTTATGATGATGAAGTTTAGAACCTTCGTACTTCACAAAACTTCAGATTTGGGTACTCCGAAGAGTTGGAATCTATAATCTAAACGGTTTTAAACCAGTTTCTCTGAATAAAATGGATATTTTGAATCCACGAAAGGCTTTCTGTGAGTTAAACGGACATTTTGGATCCATATTTGTTAGTTCTCCTTCATACATTACGAGTGGCTCAACTGGCTCACTGTTCAAAGGATGTTGCAATGGCAAATATTTAAGTTTTCATAGTTTCTAAATAGCGAACGTAATTTCTCTTTCTCACGATTTTCCTGTTCATAGAAATATACCCTCCTCTTTTTTGTAAATTTAGTGGTGAAATTAAGCTTATTTTACATTGTGCCTTGCATCACTCTTGTTAACCATTGAAATGCACTAAGTCAGTGGGCTAGTACTTTAAACCTAGCGTCATATCCGCTTGTATGAACGGAAACAGAGGCTGGTGACCTAATGGCCAGTGCACGCACTAAAATTCGGATATCCTGATAGAAAGAGGCAGAAATGATATGCTATATCAAACATGAGTTTGGTTAGGATCGCCTGGCATTTAGTACAAGGTAAGAGACCATAATTAGAAATTTCCAAGTTTCAATAGGTGTAACATTATCTTAAATATGAAGTGTTTTTTTTTTTATAGTTATATTTATAATATCCTCGGCTAATGGAAGCTGTAAGGAAGCACTGTACAGCTGTAAGAGGATGGTTAAGCCATTCTTATACGACCTCAGATACATGTTCCCTACGGCCATCAGAGACGTGGAAGACATGTGCAAGTAAGGGTATCGAGTAAATATACGAAGGCTCATCGTGTAGGCTAAGTTAATTTGTGTAATTTTTATTTAGATTATGGAGCCGATTCATCGATTGTGTTAGAACTTATATGAGCGAGTGCACTAATCGATTAATTAAGTCGAAATTCAATGCTGCGGTCGGCGATACCGTTCGCACAGTTCACGCTATATGCAGTTCTAATAAGTATCAGAGAGGTAAATTGTAATTAGATACTAAACGTTAATTTTATGTAAAGTTAATTAAATGTGAAATGTAATTTATAGATTATCTAGATCACGCAGTTTGCTTCAAAAGGGTGGCAGCTGCTAATTGTGGATCTTACTATCGTCGAATGGTCGAACAGGTTACTAATTCAAGAGCCGAAAAAAATCACATTTGTTGGTAAATTACACGTTTTTTTTTTAAATACAGAAATACATCTGTGTTTATAGTTTTTATAGTAAAAAAATTAATTTTTTATAGCACATTTAGTCATTTTCAACAGTGCGTGAACGATCCTTTACTGCATCAGTGTGGTAAGCAAGCACACGAATTAATGGCCCATTCAATGACTTATCTAATATCTCACTGTGGGAATGCATTTTATCCGTGAGTATACTCTTTAAATTTTATAAAATAATATAAAAAAAACCTCCTTCGATTTAACTAGTGTAACGCCTTAATCATCAATTTAATAAGACACAATCTAAGAGTGAAGTGTTGTTTTCCTGTAGATTGCATTACAGATGCCCAAAAGCGGATCCGGAGAATTTATTATCTCAAACATCTACCAATAAAGTGACAGCCAGCAGGTATCACGCTACAACTACATCAAGTACTTGGATCCCTCGTACAGTCATATATAGTCTGTCTCCAACACAGAGCAGCAGGACATCTGTAGGTGATAGTGTCAAACCGGCTAGTGCTCTATTTATTTTGCTCGTTTCTTACGTATCATACATCTTTCGTGGGAGATAATAAACTTGCATTCTGTACTTAAGCATCGCTTCATTAAATCATCAAATACTTTATAAGAAATAAGGTCGTGCCTCTTTACATTATCTTCTTGTCATTTGCACATTATTTAAAATCGAATGTCAAATGAACATGTGTATTTTTATTTTTCGGGAATAAAATTTTGTAAATTTTATCTATTATTTTGTATTTTTTTTTTAAGTTTATAACTGAAATATATCGATGTAAACAAACAAAAAAAAAAAATATTATTTTATGTAAATACTAGTTGCGTGTGTTTGTTTTTGTTTGGACTTTTGGGGGGATTGGTGAGGTCGGGTTGGGAGGGAGAGGTAAAAAATAACGGTCTTTTTTAACTAAAATGTATGTTTATTTACAATAATAAAACTGCAAAACACAAAAAAAATTGCTTGGGCTTAAGCTAAGAGGGGTGCCAACCATTCCTAAAGCCTTTAAGCTAGGGACTTTAGAAGATGTTGGAGGGTCTTTAGGGGTGGTTGAAGATGGGACCATTATAGAATTTTTCTAGGATGTCAAAGAGTATTCGTGCCAAATTTGGTGCGGATATGTTGAACGGTATAGAACCCTTTATCTAACAAATATACATAAGTTAAGAGGGGGTGAACTTTAGGGTGTTTAGAAGTGGGACGTCCACAGTATTTTCTATTGTATCGAAGAATATTCATGCCAAATTTGGTGCGGACACGTTGAACTGTATAAACTTTTTATCTAACATACACGTTTTAATTTATATACAGTATATAGGCCTATATATTTTCAATTCAATTTTTCAGTTAATATTTTAATTATCAGATATGTACAGAGTAAAAATATATTTTTTAATTTATTAGGAATTTAACAATTTTAATTATTTGCTTTCATTTTATTCATTTAATTTTATTTCTAAATTTTTTAGCAATTAAATTAATTATAATTAATTTTAAAAGCGTGAATTAATAGCGGGAAAATAGTAATATTAGTTAATTAAAAATTAATTAATGAAATTAAAGAAAATTAATAGAATAAAAGAAAAGGAAAAAAAAGTAGTAAGGGTGGCCCAAAACTCAGTTAACCACGAACGTTTCTTGTGTTCTACGTACTGTACACTTTTGAATGTGAACCTGAAATTGAGCTTAAAACAATACATTTTCCAAATTTATTGACTTAAGGTAAACAATTGCCTTGCATCCAGGAAAGCATAAATAGCACGAACACGCAAATTTTTGTATGTTATTATAATACAAAGGCCAAATAAATTGTTATAACGTGTGTTTCTTTTACAAAACTAACGAAAAAAAGTATGATTTAGCATGCAAGTATGTGAGCAGAATAGCAATTTAATTGACTTTTGGACCTACTTATATATGAACTTAATGACTTACACTTACAAAGAATGAATCTGACGTGTTTTGAGATTTTAAGTGTCTTATAAAACAATACATTTAAAGGAATTTAAGCCCATTCATATATTTACTATTTATACTAATTATATAAAAATCTATATTACTAACGACTTTATTTATTATTAAAATTATTACATTAGTGTTTTACGAGAAATTCGTTATACTTTATCATCTCTATTTAGGAATTCACGTGGATATTGAGCCTACCCTTCATCATTCCAATCTAAAGTTACAGCTAAACGTCACCATAACTTTACTCACAATAGATAAAATAATAAATTTATTGAGATAGAATAGATAAAAAGACAAAAAATTTCTCTTTTACTTATGAATTATTCTGATATTGAAATTCAAAACCTATGCTTATCGATAACTCTAACACAATTAAATTTTCGAACTTTCTGTATCTTTAAAATTAATCAGGTAATATTTCTTTGAAAATTTATATTCTACGTCTCTGTACCTTATTAAATAAGGCAGACAATGAAACGAGATACGTACAGTTGGTATAATAAGTTAGTGTACAGTACGTATCAACACTACTCTTGTATCCACGACCTTGTTTTAAGAAAGTACATGCTTATTAATACGTGTAGAGAGGTAGAATATAAATAAAAATAGAAATAATTCAAAATATTTTGAATATTTCTGTACAATCTTCATTTTTATGCATTCATTCTTCTCTTGGAATAATTGAATAGGTAATGGGCGTACACAGGATGAAGTATCAGGGAGGAGTAAAATATTTTAATAGACCAAATAACTAACATAATATCGACAGTAATAAAAAAAAAATATGTCGAAAATTTTAGGTCACAAATACAAGGAATTATACAGTGAATTAATTTATTTATCTGTATGCAAAATCAGTTCTAGTTACAATTAATTTAAGACTATCCCGCTGTTATTGCGGGGTAGGTGTTTTAAAATGTAATAATAAATGTATAAATAATACTAGAATACTTGTGTGTTATATCAAGCACTGCTCTTTAACGATAAATCATGTATAAGAATATAGGCTATAAGCCTGTGTAACAACACAAAAGCCTTCTATAGTAAACAATACATTTAATTATACTACTTAGCGTTATACAGGGGTGTATGAGAAGTAAAATACGGATCGAAATAGTCACAAGTTTGTAACCTAATCCCGGTAGAAAGCCATAAAAATGTGTGAGTGTAATCGATGAATCAAAAAATTTAATTTATGTAGACTACTTTATCATGTTTTTATATAAAAATAGAAAATTTTGGCACTCTTCTACGACTCCATTATATAAATTTTATTTTACTTTCTCTCATAATAATAATAATAATAGTGACGTACCCTTCACCGAATCGTTCATCTATCTGCTAGAATTTTGTTCATTTTAACACAAGATAGCATTAAAAATCAAACATTTTATTCTCAATTTTTCAAAATATTTCTATTGGAAGTGTATACTGTGTATAAAGAAAGAAAATGTTATACTTGTATATCACAATAACCAGTAAACTAGTTTACTGTGAAAGTAGTTCATTATTTTCTATCAGGAATAGAATTAATGCATGTAGTTATATAATACACTCTTTATAATAGTTTTCTCTCTTTGGAAACAGTAATTTCACATACATTACAGTATCTATTCATTGTATAATAATATATATTTTACTGTATAATTAATAGATTTCTTTGGCCATTTATACATATCCAATCGCCTTGCATTCTTCATATGTCTGTGTGGGGTGCACGATTTTGTTTACCCTGTTTGAAGCTTAATAACTCTTGTGCTTTTTGTCGAAATTTTCTGGAATTTTGCAGGGATGTTTGTGTATTAGGACCATTAATGCTATTAAATTTTGGTGGTTAAAGGTCGAGGGGGTGGGGAGATAGAAGGGGTTAAAGTTTCTTATGAAACCCCATAATTCAAATTTGCCTGAACCCCGCGAAGTTCTGGGCTGGTAACGTGGAGTTTTCCTTGTTTCGTCACATGTCTAACAACTTAAATAGGGGCCAGTTTCCCATAGAGTCTTCTGGAGAAAGCTTTCCTTTGACAGATCGCCCATGTGTTACGTTGGTTACAGGTTGATTATATACGATAAAAAAAAAAAAAACAATTTAAATACACAATTCTATAGAGAATTGTGTTACAAAAATAATTTCGTTCAATCTAAAATTGATTGTTTACGGCAATTGTTGCTATAGGGAACAGAAAATACAAAACATAAGTCATCATTCGAAGCACGTTTTGTCCCACTTATAATGCTAATTTTCATCGATTCGTGCAGAATGTATTAATTAAAAAACTATATTTAAGACTTTAATCGATTTAAAATTAGCCTAAAAATTTAAATATTTATTTATAATTTACCTACTCCTTGATCTTGCTTATAACAGTTAATTTACTAAAAATATTTGTAGTAAGTGAGCTCTCAAGAGCAAAATTAAGCAATAGAAAGCATATAAGAAAGTTCAGAAATAGGATACTAGTTTGCCACTACAGTTAGAATTTTCTTTCTGTAAGAAGTCGAATATAAAAAAAAACAAAATAAAAAAAAATATATATGAATTTCATCACAATAAAAATATAATTACTCGCATGGATTGTATGCTTGACACAACACAGTTTAATTGATGCAGTGATGCGATACTTAGATTATAATGAAGATACAATGTATAGTATATAAATTAAGGAGTAAATACAGTATAACCTTTACAAACCTTCGTCTAATAAACCAATAAATCCTACTGAATTTTTGTTTATTTGTTTATAAATAAATTAGTTTAATTCTTCGAGTTTCTGTAGTAGGAACTGACAGAATCATTGAAAACGAGAGAACTTTATTCATTTTCGGTGTAAAAATCTTGTATTATTTAAATCATTTTTTGGGTGTGATTTAAATATTTTTAAACGTAAACAATCACAAATTTTTAGGGAATTTTTTCGCGAAAAGCTTTGTGTAATACGTGCAAAACGTCGAGTTCAACCCACTACGTGTTTTTGTAAACATGTTTAACTAGAAAAATGTTCGTCTCCGGGATAAGAAACTTGTAAACGTGTTCGACATGATAATTATGTAAGAGGAGATTGTTAAAAATTGATTAGAAAGCGGCCCATTTTGAAAATATAATCGTTGTTTTAAACTTAGCTTAATTTCCCATACTTTATAAAAACACATTCTAGATAAGTCGTATACAATAAACCTTTGGTATAAACATTATTTTAAGTATTTATTATGTATCCATGTGTTAATATTATCGAGGAAAATGTTGCGTACAGTACATATTGCCTTAACTCTAAATACAGTACTACAGCGTTCCTTCTATGTACGTACTGTACTTATGGTATAAAATTGCTCTGGGGAATCTATTGCATCCTGGAGATCCACTCGAAAATCCTGTATTAATGAGCGGAAGCAGTCAAAAAATGAAATAAACCAGCAACCCAGTTACTTAACTTTCCCGACATTTGAAATTTTGGTGGCGCCATCTGTTATCATATTTTGTTTAAAAAATATTTTATATTTTTAACTGTTATAAAATATCAAAAAGCTTAATTTTGAGGGTAGAAATGAGTTTTATAAAAAATTGTAGATGCTAATAATTAAAATGTTCATTAACTCCGTTCCCACTCGACATACGACAAATTTTATTTTTTATAAGAAAACATTTTCCCTAAAAAATTCCCCGAAAGAAAATTGTCTTACCTTAATTTCTTGAAAAAATATAAAATGCACGTTCATTATTAAACAATTCGTGTTTTTTTTTCAGCGTTATAAGTTTAAACTCTCTTCTTCTTAGTCGCCATATTTGATAAAATGACGTTAACGTTTCGTTACATCTTATTGGTTCCGTTATGGAAAACGATTATTCCTATTGGTTAACGTTACAACTTTATTTTATAACGTAAGTTTGTAATGGAAGACTTCACTTATGACGTTATGAGTGTTTGTAAGGAAATAACGATGCACTTTATGACGGAAAATAGTAATGCGGAAATTTACTTTTAACAATAATAAAAAATAATTTTTTTTTAATACAAAAGTTTGGTGTCCATCTCATTTGGCCATAAGCAGACGAACTCTTTTCTGTTTTCTTGAGAACGCCCTCTCGTGGATCGAGAAAAAATCGAGATGTCATAGACATCACATTGTTATTTATACAATTAGATCAAATCTTTCACAATTTTTATCCATTACCACATATCTACTATTTAGAAGTATCAATAAAAAAATTATAGTTTTAAAGTTTTACCGCGACAAATTATCGTTGTATTTGTTCCAATAAAATAATTTTTTTCTAATAAGAATTTATGCAAATACTAAATTGAATAAAATACAATATACAGGCCTATGTAAGATATGTATTATGAAGATTGTCAAAAAGCAATCTAAGCGCTTTAAAAAAATCGGATGTCCGTGGCACCCGATTTTTATTGGTTTCTAGAGGAAAAAAAAAGTTCTCCTGCTTGTAGCCGAATGAAATGGATGCCGAAATTTTATATCGACAGAATCCATAGATATACTGGTCCATAGATGTTCTAGAGTTAATGTATGAGGTAGTCGATAGCTGGCGCTCAACTCGCTTTGCGGCGGAAAGAAGTTTTTTTATCCATTTGGTTACTAGATAGTTTTGTAGTTTTCAAATTGTTTTGTATTTTTTTTCTACGGTCTGTCAAGAAAAATCCTATAAAATTAAAAAATCGTAATTACTAATGTCATGTGTAAAGTGTATACAGTATTTGATTTTTGGAAAAATGTAATAACATAATAGTTTGAAATTATAAGTGAAGCTATGAATTTGTAAACAATTAGAACAATAAATTTTAAATAATAACCTTGCCGCCATAAAGCTGTATTTAACTTAAGAAAAGAAAATTTGATTTTTCTATATGATATACCGGGGCTAATTTATTCAAGAGCCAATGCAATTAAGACAAATTGCATCCTTCATTAAATAATATAAAAATTCTTGGAACAATTTCGTAGCTTGTTGTCAAAGAATAGATCGTTCATATAAAGGTTTTAACATTCTCAACATTAATTATTTTTTTAAAGAATTTATTTGCTTATTTTTACTTTTCCGTCTGTACTACAATAGAGGGAAGGTATGGCGATCGATCAAAAAATAATCCCTTCAAAAATTTTTGCATTTTTGGACTCAGGGCACCTTGAAACGTTGAGAAATGCAAAAACGTTTGGAAGTTTTTTTCTGTATGTATGGATGTTAGTGTGTTGTGGAGTGCACGATTTTATTCACCCATTTGAAGCTTAATAACCCCTGTATCTTTTGTCGAAATTTTCTGAAATTTTGCAGTTAGATTTGTGTATTAGGTGAATTGATGCTACTAAATTTTGGTGGTTAAAGGTCGAGGAGTTGAGGAGATGCATAGCTGGGTCATGTATCATATCTCGAGTAGGATCGGACCTAATAAAGGTTTTACTCGTTATCAGCATTTACATTTATTTTTATTTTTTATTTTTATAAAACTCATCTCTACCCTCAAAATTAATCATTTTGCCATTTTATAATAATGAAAAATATAAAAAGCTTTAAAAAATAAAATATCGCAATAAGTGTCGCCAGTAGAATCGTGCCGGTCATTTATCCAACACCTTTCAGAGGAAAATTTTTGGATTGAGATAACATGATTTTCGGTTTGCATCGGAAGTTCTTATATAGTTAATCGGGGCTTCCCGCACCTAAGGTTTCCATAGCTGGTCTCGGATTTTATCTATCTAACTCCATTCTCGAGATTAAGGAATGGCGGATGGAGAGCCATAGTGGGAATTTATAGGTCTACAATATTTTCAAATTTCAGCTCATCAAAATGAGAAAACAAATAAGGTTTATTGACTCGTCAAAAACAAACAAATAATAGAAATTCGTAGAGTTAAACAATTTAAGAAAGTTTTGTAAGCGAATTCTTATAACCTTATCAAATATCCACAAAAATTTAATATTTGTTTATAGCGATATAAAAAACAGCTCCATTTCCATAAGATCATTTGATTACATCCCGTTTCTATACAGTTTTATAAACATAATACAACTTCTATGACACCGATGTACGACATCGTCATACTTTGCTCGGGTCTTGACACTGAGTATGCGTGTAATACTTATATTGGGTATATAAGTAGTATAAACTCCAATACCTAAAATTCAACTGTTTAGGTTCGAATGAAAAATTACTAAACGACGCCATGTCCGTTTCTCTTTTTGTCTTTCTGCTTGTAACAGGTAATTATTAGCCTATACTGGATATATATATAAAACTGAAATATCTTTGTTGTCAAGTACAGTATATATTTAAATTAAAGACTCATTGCAGTATAATGGTGTATTGGCAGTATTGTTAGACTGAGTTCCTCAATGCAACTCAATCTATATGTATGAATGCATAAGCAGATACCATAACAGATATTTGAAATCAATCTATATGACCGGTACAATACTTAAAGCGGGAATTCGTAGTTTTGTAGCCAAGACGAATACTGATTTACTTTTCTTTCCTTAATAGTAGAATTTAGTGAAGTATTTTTCTGTTTTGTATCTGAAGAAACATAACTAGCAACTGTTGTTAGATATCTTTCAAAAATCTTCTTAGAAAGGCATCTATTTTTATGATGCCATTCACAACTTACGGATCTCTTAGTCAATGGAATTCTGGTATAAATGGCAAATATGGCAATGTTGTTAGAAATGTACAGGGCTTCATCTATTACAGTCTCACAGCATAGCAACGAGAAGACAGGTCTTCACTTCCATGCATTACGATTCACGAAATTCTAAAGAAACGATTAAGAAGGAAATAATTTGAAAAGCTAAATTTCTACAAGATTAATCAAATGCCCATGGAGTACCTTTCCACTGAAATAATTACGAAAGGTAGTTGAATGTAGCTATTTGGATGCTGAATCAACTAGAATAACACAGGATCGATTATGGTGGACGTCTTTTGTGCAGCGAGTATCACACCCGTGTATAGTCCCATTCTTCTTTGTGTAGTCAAATATTACTTGAATTGTATTTTTAAATATGTTACGGTTATTTCTAATTTTACAGATGTAAGACAAAACTGACAAAAATTCATTTTTTCCATCAAGATGACATTCTTTGGTTTATCTTAAACTATTTATTTTTTATTATAAAATTTTTTTCTGTATTTTAAAATAATTTAATTATATTTTGTTTTGTGAATAATCGTTTACGGATCTTGAACGTAACCTAATAGCAAAAAAATTATATACATGTTATTTTAAATATTAAATTTATACTGCATTTTAAAAAATCATCAGAGATTTTATGGTTTCGAATTTATAGTATTAATTACAGTTCGAAAAACAAATACTGTATAAACTAATACCGTTAACCGATTATCGATTTATCATAGATTATTATGGGGATTTGATTAATCAGTTCTGGAGACCCCCAAAATAAAAAATTATATACTTTCTTACTACGTTTATTTATATGTAATAATAAAAATACATATATACACAGTCTTGCATTTTTATTAGTCGTGTTTTTTCCGTTTGTGGGGCGTTAAAGAATCTTTCAAATGTCGATTGCTTTATCGATTGCATCCTCCCACTTCTTCAAAAGATCTTTAATAGCAGATGTCGGCATTAATCCTCTTTTTCAGAAGAAAACATATCTCGCCGAGTTTCTTGGAGTTCTTCATTCAAGAGTTCTTGGCGTTCTTCTGTCGTCAGATCAGTTTCAGGTTTCATTATGAGCTCTTCAATGTTCTTTATTTCTGAGATGTGATTTTTGTTACTCCTTAAGCTGCTTGAGACTTCTTGATTATCCTGTATCTTTCTTAGATAAGATTGAACTGCGGCCTAGTGTAGACCTGTTCGAGCCAGACTATGCAACATCATGCCCAGCAACATCAGACATCTGCCCACTCTCTACCTTTGCTATTATACTCTCACCTTTCGAAAATAAAAACCGACTCAAAACTTAGCGAGTGCCTGCCCGACAGTCTCCCAAATACTATAAAACAACTGTTTCTGTCAGAAAAATAAAATGCTCGTTGTCTGAACATAAAAATCTTTCGCGAAAGTGTTCGTTATCCGATTTGTTCGTAGTCCGAACTGTTCGTTAACCGATCACCCAGTGTATAGTGAAAAAGTACGCGAGTTTGAAGTACGCGAAAATGTTCAATATCGAACAAAGAAAATGCATCAACTTTTGAACTCTTTTGAAGAGATCTGAACAAACTCTGAAAATGTTATCCTGCAGCTTACTGGGTCCACCTCTTTCTCCTCATGAAAACACACATGAAATGCCGAAAATTCGTCAATACAGATTGCTGCTGAAAAAAGTGCACTTCAGAGAATCACGAATGATGGGTTCCAGGACGTTTTCAAAAACTACGACTGCTGCATGAAGTGTTGTGTTGTTTGCTTCAGAAAATGAATATTTTGAGGATAATGTATAGTCAATAAAAAAGTCGATAAAAACTTTTCTGCGAACTTTTTTGAGCGTACTACATACAATCTATTTATATATGAAATATTCAGTAAATTACACTAATACTTAACTTATATTTATTTAGGTGTGTACTACGTAAACGGGATCTCATCAAACGAAACTCAGGGTATGTCGGTGAGTTTATGTACCGTTTAGACCTAGTAGTTTAAAAAGTAAATTTTAAATATTTTGCGATATTAAATGCCATTTACAGATACTTTTACTGAAGTTATTTGCTGCAGGAACAAAATTTGTGACACTAACAGACTTTTTCAATGTCGAGAAGATTTTCGCAATGTTATTGAATATTACGACAATGCCTTTCAAAATGTAGAAGCTTTCTGCAGGTTCGTAAAATCTTTGAAATGCTTAAAAATTAATTTTAATATGTAAATGCTCATAAATGATTTCAAACAGGAACTACTTGAATCAATTCAACTGCTATTTCTGGCATAACTATCACTGTATAACCGAAAATGTAAAAAATATCGATTTATTAACAAGAGCTAAAGGTTCTATTGAACCTAGATGTGACGTAGAAGGAGGTAATAGTTTAAATTTTATCGAGGTTGCGGCCGAAGTTTTCATCTCTAAAACGTGAACGTCGAACGTCGAGCGCTGCTTACAAGATAGCGGCGCTCGACGTTCGACGTTCAAGTTTTAGAGATGAAAACTTCGGCCGCAACCTCGCTTTTAATTATGAACTTAAAAATGCCATTTTATAATTCAAACATTTCTAGATATTCAAAGAGGGAAATGCTACACCAGTAATGAAATTAGAAATTGCGACAGACTCTTAGGTGATGAAGGATCTACTAGAGAACCAGAATGCCAGTACTTCATATAACTTATTACATAATAATTTTGTATAAATATATGTAATCTACTAAATGAATAATTGATATTTTTGATATCGTAGAAAATATAAACAATTTTACGAGTGTGTCGAACGATACGTGAAAAGCTCTTGTAGTAAGGATGAAGAGTTGTTCTTCGCATTCTATTTAATAAGCAAAGCTAATGGAAGAGCTTGGTCTTGCTCGTACTCTGTCAATTATCAAATTCTTGACGATACGACCCGATTTTATCCACATTATGGTATGCCATTGCACAGTTATTGTATTTATTTATTATTTTTTTTTAAATGACGAATATTTTATACATTTTCTGAATTTCTGTTTAGATTCTACTTGCGAAAACCTGGCTAGACAAAATTATGAACAATGTGAAAAGGCACAGAAGGAAGATGCAAAAGCAGCTGACCAGCTAACAAGGGCTCGAGACAGACATTCTATATCATGCTGGTAATTTGTAATATTAAAGTTTTTTAAAACTAGATTTTATAATTTATAATTGTTCAAAAATATATTTACAAGAGTAGAAGGTATGGAAAACTTGTATATAAACTATTAAAAAATCCTAATTTCATATACAGGAGGAGCCTTGTTTATATATACTATAGAAGTTCGTTAATCCGGAATTTACGAGATCAAAGTGGTAACAGAAGTTTTGGTAATTTCGCAAAATTCCATAAGTTATATGCAATCTAAATGTGCAAAGATTGCTGTATATTTTTTTTTATCAGCGCACACTCTGTTATGAATTTCCGATTTGTGTACGCAGGCTCTTTGGTCAATCTGATGATGTTATATTGCATGGATCTGTGTTAAGAAATAATTAAAATCTTGCAAAAATGGGTTATCAGCGCGTTATGGCAGAGATCTATCCTGGAAATGGTAGTGCTCATTCTTCACCACTCGGCTGTTTCTGTTACAGTAGAGTCTCGAAAACTCGGTCTAATGTGGACCGAAGGATGGCGGAGTTTGTGAAAATGCCGGGTCATCGGGAATGGGGTTAAAAAAAATAAGTATGAGTGTTTCCTCAGAAACTGCCCAAATACCCTTAAACAAAGGAAAAGTACGTCCTTTATGAAGGCATAGAGCCTTTACTACATGAAAATTAAAATTAATGAATACACTGTGTACAGGAATTTACCTGATAAGAGAGACCCCAGAAAAATACTTTATGAGACATAAAGCTGTCTATAATGAAAATTAATTAACTAAGGATTTTTTTGCCCTGCCAGGGTGTGGCCGAGTTATCCGGACTGCTGGGTTATCAAGTGCTGAGTTTTCGAGACTCTACTATATAGGCTTGGACGAATCTAAGCTGAATATAAAAAAAAGACCCTCTTAGTTCAATAAATCGGAAAGAGTCAAAATGAAAAACCATTCCGTCGTTTTTATTATGGATTTGATCAAACTCATATAGAAGATGATACGAGAGGATTGATAGACTAAGACAACAACGACATTTTGGGCATTTAGCCAAGACAGAGGTGTTCCCGGTAGGACTCCTTTGGACAATTGCCCCTATTTAGACGTCTAGACACGTGAAGAAAGCCTTGAAAACTCCATGTGCCATTCAAGAATTTTGAACTCATGATCAACTATAAGTGTTCAATGATTTTGTCTATTATTTGGCCATCACGTATCTTAGATACGATAGAACACCTTATTATTGTCCATAGGCCGAAAAGAGTTTAAAAAAACCACCGTACCAGAAGTTTTCATTTCACTAGACCATTTATTTTTCTATTAAAAAGTCTATTTCCATGCAAACATTTCCGAGAGAGAAGACAATATAGGTTTAACTTGGTTTTTACATTACTAAAAAATAACTCAGAGACAGAAACGTGATGTTACTTCCAGTCTAGAAATTTTAGAATATATTTATACTTTGTTTCATTATACTTGTACAGTACTGTACATTCCGTGTTTATACCACACCAATTGGAGAATGATATTTTAGTGAAGTAATTTTTTAACATTGCTGGCAACTTAATTCGACAGCTTAAAATTTTTAAATATAATTTGTTTAGTTGAAATATTTATTTAATACTTTTTCTATTTTTTATAGTGTAGCTCTGAAACACAGAGAATGCATTCGAGAAGTTGTGAGGAAACAATGTCACCGCACTGACTCTTTAATAGTCGATATATTACTGGGAGTTGTTGGTCGCAATAGAATAGATAGCTGCAATGATGTAGATTATCATAAGTGTTCGGGTGCTCGAACGTTCAGCGATGCCACATTTATGGTTATTACACTTTTCATACTTACATTATTATCTCTTACAAATCTTCTGGATGTTTCATTGTTTTAATATTAATATAGCCTATATTTTTGAAATTTTCTTAACAATAAAGATTTAAAGATTTAAGATGAGAAATTATTTTAATTTATTTATAATTTCAAAGAATATGACCACGCATCTTTCTTAAGGAAGATGGGCTTACTTGTTAGATGAGATTGACTGAAAATGAAATATGTTCTAGTGTATTGCAGGGGCGCTGGTACAGTACATTGGGGTACGGTACTACTCCTTTTTTTGTGTGTTGCACTTTTCCTAATTTCCAAGGGGGCTCCAAATTCCGTTATCAACAAACAACAGAGAATTAATAATTTATAGACTACTCTGAAAATATATAACAGAAACTAATATTTGCCCGTTGTCCTATGTTGATTAAGACTTGGCTTTGAAAACGAGGAGCATTCCTCGGTTTTGTTACAGGCTGTCAAAGTGTACGATTTACACTATTATTACCATGTAAACAGTAGATCAAAGTACTGTACTTTGACATTCGTCTGATTGATGCATAACTGCTTTATCATAAATGATCAGCACGTGTTACGAACTTGTAATCCCTTTAGCGCACTTGTTTAACACGAGTTCCTTGTCTCTCACTTTTATGGTACAGTCAAATCTCGGTTTTCGAACATAATTCGTTGCTAAAAGTCGTTTGAAAATCTATTTAATCTAAAACCAAAACAAATTTTTCCATAAGAAGCAATATAAGATGGATTAATCCGTTCCTTAAAACAAAGCCTTTTTTTTTACCTTTAGCTGTATTTCATGTATAAAATCCAGTAACGAGTTGCTTAAGTTTCCCGGCAACATTTTATGACGCCATCTGTTATGATATTTATTTAAAATTTTTAAAAAAATAATTTTAACTATTATATAATGGCAAAGGGCTCAATTTTGAGGTTAGGGATGGGTTCTATAAACAAATTGTAAATGCTAATAACCAGTAAAATCATCATTAAGCTGATCCTACTGAGATACACACGATCCTCTTTATCTCCACATTCCCTAGACCTTTAATCATCAAAATTTAATATTATCAATTTCCCTAATACGCAAACCTCACTGCAAAATTTCAGAAATTTTCGATGAAAAGCACAGGAGTTATTAAGCTTTAAACAGGGTTAACAAAACCATGCCCCCACACATACTAACATACATACATACAGAAATTACCCCCGAATATTTTTGCATTTCTCGACGTTTCAAGGTCTTCTGAGTCCAAAAACGTAAAAATCTTGGAGGGGGTTCATTTTTTGAACGATCGCCATACTTTCCCTTTGTTATATACAACAGCCGAGAAAGAAAAATGCCTACATATGCATCCCTCTTTTTGCCATTCGATAATAATTAAAAATATAAAAAGTTATAAGTAAAGGTTTCTTCTTACAATAGTGAGACTAGTGATATCGTGTCTTTCTTAATTATCCACAATTAATACAGACCAAGTAAAACGGTTCACTTTATTTCACCTATTTAACAATGGATTTCGGATTGGTAATTTTCCAATCTTCTTCAGTCTCACGGCTTCAGTGTTTAAGATTGTTGTCTACAACATAACGAACAAAAGGTTAGTTCATGTTAATATAGTTTTGTTATCCAGAAAGATGCAATTTGTACACATCCCAATGGTACAGCTTCAGTCTTTTTCATTTGTTTGTTTGTTTTCTCTGTCTATTTTTGATGGGGAAATGCAACGCTTCTATTTCCCACAATTATCAGCTCCTTATTACCTCTTAAAAGGATTTTAATTTCAACAATATGGTTCATAACATGACAAAGGTCAAAATGTAGTTTTCATTTTAAATATTTTTACAAATTGAAATAAAATTTTCACAAACAAACAAAAACACAAGAACACTACTTATATTCTGCAAAAGAAAAAAAAAACACTTTTCAAAAAGAATCAACAACATACTGAGTATAATACGAATCCGACTGACGTGAGTACACTATAAATAAAGCCCTTCAAGACCTGACTCATATTTTAAAAACATTGTTATATTGTGGATTAAGTACTACACTTACCACTTTAAACTCTGATCTTACCTTCTTTATAATAATCAAATAAAATTTATAAAATAGCTAAATTTAAGATGAAACAATCTAGATTTATATTAGTTATGTGAGTGCCTATGAAATGGTCCGGTTACATGCAAAGGATTCGGCGACAGACTGTCGCCTCTCTGTCGACATAGGCTTCTCGGATGTCGTTTCGACCTCCACCAAAGCTTATCTGTGCTTGTCGACATACACCGGTGATTGTTCGAATGTATAATAATATGACCAAATATTCGGTCTTTCACCGACGTATTTTGGTGTGTCGACATTCACCGGAGAATATCGGCATTCTCTAATTTCGGTCTTTCACAGTAACATCTACATATGAAATCTACGGCAAACAAAACAATCTAAAAAAATAAATTCTAAATTGACAATCCTGTCCAACACGTAGTATAGACTTCGATGTTTTGACTTAAAGTAAAATGGCGGTCGATAGTACCCGTCGTTGCCACCAAGAGCGCTGTATCTAAGGTCGCAGCCATATCTTACTGCAAAATGTTCAAAATTTTTTTTTTTAAATGTGAGAATTCCTATGATTTTTATCACTAGTTACATAACTAATAATTAAAATACAATAAAAGGATTGTTAATTACGTAATAAAATCCATTCTGAAAAATTACTTAAATATAATATGAATTTTAGCCATTAGAGGGCGCCATATTATATAAATATAGATATTGTATGTAAGCTTTTATGAATGGATTCGTACTTACGCTACTTAGAATTCCGATTAAATTATTTTAATATCTGATAAAGAATGCGACATTTATTTCTTCATTTAATTTCCGAGTTTTAGTTTTGCGGGTTCGATCCTCATTAAAGAACCGATCACGTGTAGTTTTTCGAGATTCCTTCACGTGTCTAACACCTAAATAAAGCCCACGGAGTACCTTCCGAGATGGCTTTCAATGGAAACTGGGCCGTATTTAGGTATTAGACACGTGAAGGCTTCCATTGAAAGCCTTCTCTGAAGGCACTCCGATCCGTTGAATGCTTTTGCAGTCGTTACAATGAAGTAGATTATTGATATATCCGATCACATGGGCGCTCTATTGCACTATTTGGAATACTTCACGATTTATTACGATATATGGAATTTTCGCATGTTTCTTTTATATACATTTATCAGAGAGGTTGCAGTCGAAGTTTTCATCTCTCAAACGTGAACGTCGAACGTCGAGCGCCGCTTACAAGATAGCGGTGTTTGACGTTCGGCTTTGACGTTTGAGAGATAAAAACTTCGGCCGCAACCACTGTATTATCTACACTCACGAAAACGTGTGAAAATAATATAAGTAGAAGCAAACCTATTTACAGAACACGATCTTAGTGAATTAGCTGGTGGTCAATTGATCTAAATTGTGCCCTCTGGAGACAAAATCCTTCTGGTGACCATTGAAAATAATTGAATGGATTCTTCATATTTTCAGGACAATAGATTACGTACAAAATTTTGAAGAAATCAAGAAATATTATTATTATTTAAAATAATTGTTTTATAACGCCTTTTCAACGATAATAATTTAATTCGTTTTAGGATTATTTTGCGGCTTTTTTTTTTTAAATTTAATCATCCGATGTTAAAATTACTTTCTAGCAATTAATTGCTTGAGTTGTTCTGACTTTGTTTTTTTAATGTGTTTTTATAATTTCAAATGCGATTTTTTTTATATCTTCAGATTCTTTTTTAATCACCTTGTTATTTTACTATCACATTTTGTATATTTTTTATCTGACCTTTTGATATTTTTTCTTCGACAATTGAACTTGCTTCTAGCTAGAACTTTAAAATATCGTTTTAACAGTAAAATATTCTAAATTTACCTCACTTCTTTCTTAATTTAACAATAAAAACTGCTACTTAGATAGGAGATTGATATAAAAAAGCTAAAGTTCTAATTTACTTTATCGGTAATGTGCAATGTAAATAAAACAAATACAAAATTAATTTTAAGCATTATTTATTCGATATTTTTCTAGTAAAAAAAAAAGCCGAAAACATTCTCATATTTTTTTCAAAATTCATTATTTATCTCCAATTCACTGCCCCGACTAATGACAGGAATTGTAGGAAACGATGCAAGAAAAAAAAAAGATTATTTATCTAAACAAAAGAATCCTAAAAAACGATATGACGGATATCTTAATATTAATGAAAATAATTGTGTAAATGCAATTATTCAATGTAATTTAATACGCCGTTCTTAATATAAGCCAATTTTTATATTATAAAAATGTAAAAATTAGTAACAAGTTTAAGTTAATAAATAAGTATTAAGTTAGTAATAAGGATAAAATATTTTTTCTCATTTAAAAACCTTTATGTGCTATATTATCGGATGGCCAGGCGGTTATGGTAGTAGCTTACCACTCTGAAAGACCCGGAATCGAATCCGAGCGGGTCAAAAACCTCATGAATATTTTTTGGTGATGGGAATGTATTGGCATATCTCCTCACNGTACCACTGTGGATGTACTGTGTTCTGTATGAAAAATAAACTCTTAGATATATTACGTACAAGTGCGTTTAACATTAAAATATTTTAAAAAAATCTATTTATTTACAAAGATAAGTGGGCCATCTCTCTGGTTAAGCTACTGAATTAAAGGTTTGATGGATTTTGGTATACAAATCCAATCGTCAACCTACTGCTGATATGAGTATACAGTGGAGGATTAATCAATAGGCTTACTATGTACGCTTAGGGCCTCATCGTCTCGAGGGGGCCTCAAAAATTACATAGTCTAAAATTCAGTTTAAAAAGCTTTAAAAAACTTATTATTGTTTAAGGATTTTATTGTATTTTTAATACAATAAAAGGCCTTATGAATAAATTGCGCCTAGGGCCTGAAAGGAACATAATCCGCTACTGCGAATCTATACTATAAATAGGATTATTCCGCTATAAACTGCTAAGTTTTTTTGCAAATTGTTATTTCTTTTGTTTCACTAATTGATTATTTTTGTATAATATTAATAATTTCTTTCATTAGCAAGCATTTAAGTCTGTTAACTCTGTAATGCCCTACAATTATCATCATTAAAATGAATTTACTTTTTGACATTCGACCTTCAAGCTTTATTTATTTATTTTTTTATTACTTTCTATTCATTTTTTCTCATTTAAAAACCTTTATGTGCTATATTATCGGATGGCCAGGCGGTTATGGTAGTAGCTTACCACTCTGAAAGACCCGGAATCGAATCCGAGCGGGTCAAAAACCTCATGAATATTTTTTGGTGATGGGAATGTATTGGCATATCTCCTCACCACTTGGTAAACTTGTAATGGACTTGCTAAAAATACCTTCTTAGTACTTGCAGAGTTTAATTTAAGAAAAATATGTGCAATAGTATGATCCAATGCTTGCTCTTTTGCTTGCATTGGATAAATATTTGGCTAATTTCTACAGTTTTGGCTTTCGCTTCATTGACTTACGTTGATACTTTTACAGTAAATTTATCAGCAATTCTGCAGTTGTAATCACTTTTATTGACTTTTTCTAGTTTAAGTAGAATGTTTTCTTGTGATGTTTATAGTTATTTCTTGTTTAATCGATTCTAATTTATCAAATAATATATTCCTAAAAAAATAAAAATACCTAGAAGCTTCTAAACAACCGGAAATAAGGAACCATGCTTATCTAAATCTATTATTTAAAGAACCTCAATGTAAAAAGTAGGACTCTTAATTGTAATTGTTATATTTACGCTGCTTGATATCACTTAATAAACATAACGTTTTAAATTTAGTTACAAAATTGAAAATAATGACTTATAAAATTAATAAATTCCATTTATAGTTCATTAAATATGGTAATTTTAACTGTAAATTACTTGTATATCGATTCAATTATAGATTTATCCTAATTAGTTTTTCAAACTGACATATAATGAAGAGTATAAACGAAGGAGCCTTTTTTTTTTACTCTTTCTACTCTGTGAGCACAAGAGGGCCTCATCGTGGGTTTGGGTAAGCCCGCAATATTCTGGACAGATCGCCCAAATCCGAAAATCCGAAAAACTCCACGTGGTCAGCCCATTGATGCAGGCTTATACCAGGCCCATTGTGAACCTGGCAGAAGTTAAAATGGACTTGCTAAAAAGGCCTCCCTAGTGCCTACAGAGCGGAAAGAGTAAAAAAAAAAGGTAACATTAATTGAATTTATTGGATCATTAATCACGAAGAATCAAAGAAGAAATGTGGTAGAATAATACAAGAATCATGTAATTTGATTGTAAGAAAGGGAAAAACTACAGGAAAAATATATTAAAAAAATTTACTCGTGTGATATTTGTCATTATAATTTTGTAGTATTATAGTTGAAAATTATAGGTTTGATTAAACGATTAAAAAATTATACTGATTAACATGCGTGTCATCGAAATTATCGGCCAAAGCAATGCTTGTAATTGTTATAGTCTAATAATTTTTTCTGTTTTTAGAATTTCTGAAATTTTAAATTCAATCAAATATGCGATTTTTTTTAAAAATCGGATTAAGAATTTTATTTATCCAGAGCCTGATAGAATTAAAATGAAGCATGACCTGTCACAACTGTAAAGCCTCACTCCTCTCTGAAAGCCATAAAAATACATAAATAATATCCATATAAACATTTACTTTTTGATGTTTATAACTTTTACGTAGTGTTTTTTCACATAGAAAACTAAATTACAGTGGTGCGTTATAGTTTTATGGTGGCTCAGACAAATTTGAATTAGAGGGCCCATGTACAGTGTTGACATCAGACATTTTTCTTTTTTTGGAAAAGAAGGGGAATTTTTTGGGGAAAATGTTTTCTTACAAATAATTGGCTTGGTGCCTCCTGTTTTTGCCCTTTTTGTATATAGGATAACGCGCCACTAATTTTGAGCTTATAAAATAGAGGGACCTGTGATAAATCCGTTGGCACACATCTTATTTCCGACTGACACACGAACCACTCTGTCTCCCCACCATGTTGTCCTTTAACCACCAAAATTTAATAGCATCAATGCCCCTAATACGCAAACATCCCTGCAAAATTTCAAAAATTTTCGACAAAAGACACAAGAGTTATTAAGCTTTAAAGTGGATGAAACAAAACACCTATTTTTCCTGTTCCTATGTTTATTATCTAAACAATTAGAATGATCTGTTNAAACGTGAATAAACGTGACAAAGTGTTGTTAAACGTAGGATTAAATATACAGTAATTCAAGTCAGTAAAATTGAAATCAATAGACTAAGATGAACCCCTGCAAAATTTCAAAAATTTTCGACAAAAGACACAAGAGTTATTAAGCTTTAAAGTGGATGAAACAAAACACCTATTTTTCCTGTTCCTATGTTTATTATCTAAACAATTAGAATGATCTGTTCTATTAAATTTAATCAGTAGCATAACTAAAACCGATACTGGGTGGGTCCAAATTTGAACGTGCAAACCTACATTTAGGCTACATCCACAGTTGTACCACTGTGGATGTACTGTGTTCTGTATGAAAAATAAACTCTTAGATATATTACGTACAAGTGCGTTTAACATTAAAATATTTTTAAAAAATCTATTTATTTACAAAGATAAGTGGGCCATCTCTCTGGTTAAGCTACTGAATTAAAGGTTTGATGGATTTTGGTATACAAATCCAATCGTCAACCTACTGCTGATATGAGTATACAGTGGAGGATTAATCAATAGGCTTACTATGTACGCTTAGGGCCTCATCGTCTCGAGGGGGCCTCAAAAATTACATAGTCTAAAATTCAGTTTAAAAAGCTTTAAAAAACTTATTATTGTTTAAGGATTTTATTGTATTTTTAATACAATAAAAGGCCTTATGAATAAATTGCGCCTAGGGCCTGAAAGGAACATAATCCGCTACTGCGAATCTATACTATAAATAGGATTATTCCGCTATAAACTGCTAAGTTTTTTTGCAAATTGTTATTTCTTTTGTTTCACTAATTGATTATTTTTGTATAATATTAATAATTTCTTTCATTAGCAAGCATTTAAGTCTGTTAACTCTGTAATGCCCTACAATTATCATCATTAAAATGAATTTACTTTTTGACATTCGACCTTCAAGCTTTATTTATTTATTTTTTTATTACTTTCTATTCATTGTTTGACTTTGGAAAAAAATAGCCCCGTTATTATAACACAAATAAACCCCTAATATAAATATAAATTTATAAAAATATAAACCAAAAATAAATGAAATTTAATGATAATAATGCATAATAAAATAAAAATTACTTCTTAAGCATTCATAAAGTGACATTAGCTTTTACAATAAATTTCTCATTAAATTTTTTTTTTATAAATTTCAAACTTTTATTTGTAATTATGAAGGTCTTTTGAGCAAAATTTACATGTCTAATTCATTTTTCAATACTTTTTTAATATTATATTTTAATTAATTAAAATTTCATATAGAATATTTCAGGTATTTTATGATAAATTTGATTTAGTGTTTATAATTATTTGATGTAATGCATGATTTATTTTTTTATTCTGGAAATTTCTAAAATATGAAATGTTATTGCCCAAATCTTGGATATTCTTTCTAAATGAGATGGGTCTTTCTATCTGGATTTTTCATTCTATCATAAGCCAAATGGGCTTGATGGCATCCTTTCTTTGTAGACTTTTTTATCAAAAGTTAAATGGTCCTCTGTCACTCCTTCTATCTGGATCCTTCTGTCATGAGTGAAATGATACTATTGGCTCTTGTTCAATATGGACTCTTCTGTCATAAGAGTCAAATGGTACTAGTGGCACTCCTATCTGGACAAGAGTCAAATTGGCACTCCTTCTATCTGGACCCTTCTGCCATAAGAGTCAAATTGTCATTCCTTCTATCTGGACCCTTCTGCCATAAGAGTCAAATTGTCATTCCTTCTATCTGGACCCTTCTGTCATAAGAGTCAAATGGTCCTATTGGCACTCGTTCTATCTGGATCCTTCTGTCATGAATCAAATGGTAGTACTGGCACTCCTATCTGGACAAGAGTCAAATTGTCATTCCTTCTATCTGGACCCTTCTGTCATGAAAGTTAAATGATCCTGCTGGCATCCCTTCTATCTAGACTCTTCTATCGTTAGCAAAATTGTTTTGCTGGCGGTCAAATCCAAATCCACCGAGGTCTAAGGATAGAAAAGAATATCCGAAACTAGTGTTTTATATAAAAATCATGATATAAAAGTGATATAAATCAAAGCTTTTCTTTATAAGCACAAAAAAATCTGTTTTACTTAATTTTATTAATATATTTTCATGGCTTCCTAGAGAGGTAAACCCTACATTTGTGACTGGCTGGACTTCATCTCGTCTTTTTTCAAGCCTTGCTCGTTTGAGTATTTCTTTCATGTTGACTAATTCATCAATCAAGACTGTAACAAACTGTAAATATAGAATCAGCATTAGTTTTTAAAGGAATTTTCGCTTGTTTTCCGCTCTTTGACTCGTCAACACTACATTAAAAAGTAAAATTTTAACGAGTCGTTTAAACTTCATAAAAAACCAATTAAAAGAGATTATTCTATAGTTTATTAACGCCTTTATTAAGAGGTTCCCAAGCACGGAAGATCGAGGACCCTTCTACAAAATTTTACGACATCATAAACTAATAACTGTAGAATTATTTATTATACATATATTTCAATTTTGGGGCCTTGAGAGGACCGAAACCCGTGACCCCTAGACATGTTCGTGTGCCTACTAAAGAGCGATAGAATCCAGTAAATCCGCTTGTAAATTCATCGGCGCGTATCCCATGGGCAAAAAGAGCAATTGCCTAGGGACCCCCACCAACAGGGGACCCAAAATCAGTCTTTTATAAGAAAATATTTCTCCTGAAAAATTCCCCCGAATAAAAATGTCCGAAGTTGTACTTGGGGCCCTCAATTCAATTCTCCTGCGTTTCTAACAAGCCACTGTGTAAATCAATACAATTTTATAAAATAAATTTGCATTTTAGACCATTTTATAGTTTGTTTTATTCTATTTTATTATAATATTTAAAGAATAAGAGCATTCATCCGTTCTCTTTTTTTACTACAAGAGAAGTAAACAGCGTGATAGTTCCCCTTCTATTATTAATATCTAGTTCATACAAAATTTATTCTAAATTATAAGCGATAAAATAGTGCTACAGAATTTATTTTTATCGCCTAAATTTATTAATAGTATAATTATAAATACTTTTTTAAATAATTAATTATATATTATAATGATTCAAGATCTAAAGAGGTGAGATAAAGACCTAACTAGTTATAAAAATGAGGCGCACCCCTCTTAAAAACCCATAAAAATATATATAAATAAAACTAAAAATAGATTTTTATCGTATATAAAAGTAATTTTTATATTATTTTTGGTGATTTATTGGGGTTTTTTCGTAAGTTATTCAGTGGAGCATCATGACTTCGTGGAACCTAAACGAATTTGAATTAGGGGGTCTCATGTACAGTACAGTGTTGACATTTTTCTTCGGAGGGGGGAAGTTTTTGGGGAAAATATTTTGTTATAAAACACTGGTTTGGGGTCTCCTGTTAATGGGGGATCCAGTAAATTGCCCTTTTTATTGCGGTTTATTGTGAGTTTCTTTATTCTTTAAAGCAGAGTCGAATAGACCTGTTGACCCTACTTTCTATGAGCTTATAATTATCTATAACTTAATATTTGCAATTTTAAATGCTCTTTGAATTGTTTTCATCGAATTTAATTACATAAATAACTTGTAAAGATTAATTTTAAACAATAAAAACTCTTTTACTTAACGATAATCAGTAATCATTCTTCTCGATAGAGTGTAGCTGTTTTTAGTTTATTATTTACCTTGTTGGACGACGTTTAAAGGAAATTAAGTAATGAAATTATTTTATGTCGCAAAAGAATTGTTTTATAACGGAAATGACTAACATTAAGTGAACAATTAATATAAAATTCTCTTGAAAAAAAAAATTCCTATCAGGAGGAAATGGAATGACCGAAAGTTGAAAGTTTTTATGCAACTTCTACTTATGTTATACGCTGTATATTTTGACAATAAACAATATATATTAACAATTATATAACTCTAATTTGATATTTAACATAGTATAAGAGTTCAACAAACGTCAAGAGCAATAGGATACACGCAGTTCATCTTCGAAATAGGTTATTGTAAGTGTTAATAAATTTCACTCATTAAAAACTACATGACAATGCTGTGACCGCAATTTCAATTCTCCAATTCATGTTCTTGTTTAAGATAACCGTAGACGAGAATCTATCCATCCATATCATTCGATATCTGTTAATGAAGATCATCTTGCAACACTCTTCAACATGAAATTGATAGCGGTGCAAGAGCCATCTTTCTTTTGTAGCGATTTTACACTTCAGAGTTCGATAGAAGCATTTCTGTGTTAATTTTTACGGTTGTTTTACTGTTTTCCTCTGTTGGATACTTGTCTGTGAATAACAATTGTTAGTTTACAGTATTATTACGTCAGGCAATAAGTTACGTAGTGTCCTTCGTGGGGTGACGAAACCCTTTCACCATCGGTAGCTACTTAAGGAGGACCAAGGGCAACACCCATATTTTCTCTTCCTTCAAGGTTTATATTATTATAAATACAATAATAATAAGAACAATACAACGCATGCGTGTTATTAGTGTCATATTACAAGATAATTTCCTGCCATTTTGTTTATTTAGTACATTCCAAGTGGTATATAGAAGGCTTACAATTGAGGTAGAATTATATTAAAATATGGATTTTGAAACTCTGATCATTTTTATATTCTTAATAGGTAAGTTTATATTGTATTAAGTTAAGGTAAGAGTGTATTTTTTTTTTTTTTACTATAATTTCCCTGTTTACTTCCTTCTTTTATGCGGTTAATATACAATTCTGATGGACCTTTCATAATATGAATTTTTATAATGTTTTTAAGATTAATTAGTGAACAAATTGAAAAATTATGGTAAATAATCGATTTTTCGAGAATAACGGGGAATAATATGAAGAAAAACACACGTATTTCCTATTTTCTAACTCGAAAAAACAAGAAGTTGCATCTAATGTCAGGCTAAATCAATAAATTCATTAATTAATTTATATTAATATCTGTAATGATGATAAAGTACTTTACTAATTAGCAAATTATTCCTTAAAATTTACGTATTATACAGCAGACAATCTATAAGTTAATTTCATTCAGATCTTAATAATCGATTATTATATGTGTAAGATATAATGGATGAATTTAAGACGTAACTCTCACTTTAAAAATGATATTTCGAGAGAAAAATCGATGATAATTTAGTTTAAATTGAATTCATTTAAGATTAAAAACGTTAATATTATATTTAAAATCAATTATAATTAAGTAAGTTTACGTAATTAAGTGATCTTTTGAATTTAAATTTAAAAAGTGATTCGAATTTATGCCTTAATCCAACTTTATTACCTGAAATATGCGAGAAAAATGTGTCTTAAATACGAGAAAATAAGGTCATCTTTAATTAAGGAAATTAAGGAAAGTAAGTAAAATAAATGCATGATAAAAGCTTACTTTACGAATGACTGATATCGCGTAGAAGCTTATATTTCATAAGATACAATACTTTTTAACACATCTTTTTATTTATTTATATTAGAAAATTTTTTAAATATTCCGTTTATATTAATATTTATGTCATAAATACCAATAAAATCATTATATCAATAATTAAAAATACTGTATAATAGAAGAAACACTTAAATAAATTAAAAGAGCTTTTTCATAATCTGTTCGTACTCTCAGGAACATGTTTGCATTCATACACCTAGTAAACACAACCCTCAGAAACATGTTTACGTTAGTAGAAACACAACCCTCAGAAACATGTTTACGTTAGTAGAAACACAACCCTCAGAAACATGTTTACGTTAGTAGAAACACAACCCTCAGAAA